GAATTTCATATAGGGTGACAGTTTTGAAATTGACAAATCTATATGTGTTACATTGAGTTGTCCCCCCATACCCCTAGTTATTATAAGAATGATCAACAAAAATCTTTACTATTTGATTTTATTATTTGATTTTCCCTATGTTTGTGACTATACTAATATCTAACACCCCATTGTTTTATGCTGTATCATGTGTCATATGTGATACTTAACCATTGTCTTATTATTAATTATTTTAATATTAATATTCAAAATAGGGATAATAATGACAATGAAACTATAGTACTATTACATCCACTAATTCTAAAAGCTTCATATAGGAGCACTTTAATAGGGTTACTGATAATAATGGGATATTTGGGTTAAATGCAAATATTCTTTAATCACAAAAAATGTTGTTGTTTGGAGAAAGGAATAATTCAAGCATACATGTGCCTGAAGAATTGGATTAGAGATAATAATATTACTAAGTAAATCAAATTTTTAATTTTTGTTCTTTTTTAAAAATCCAGTTATTTTACAAATTGTATTTTTTTTTAAATTCAAATAAGCAAGATAAAATTACATATATTAATTTCTATATACTTGAAAATTTTTTACATCTGACCCAAGTACCCAACCCAACCTGACCTGTTTGGAACACTATGTTGAAGAATCAGGAGAAGGAGGTTTTTGAACTGTTTTGGTTTGATTTAATGTTGGTCCTAATAATATGTTGATCACCACCATGATTCACCTCTCTTAATTCATTAATATAAGTTTATATCTAAACGAATTATCTAGATCTTGAAAATTAGCTCATTTAAGTATTTTGTATGATCTTGGCAATTAATTTACCAAATGCTCTAGAGTTTTAGAATTAACTATATTTAAACATAGGACACATTTTTCACTTATACCACAAAGATCATTAGACCATGCCATTGTGATCAATTTTTGAGTTAAAGATTTTTTTGAAAATTCTGACAAATTCATTTTTATTTTTTAAGGTTCATAAAACAACAAGTTGTTGTTTATATGTGGCGAAACTTCAGTATGATATATTGTTTGATATGAAGATGAATTTTTACTTAATAAGCAAGTGGTTAGGATAATGAAATTTTTGTTTTTTTTCATGCTTCCCAATTCAATTATTTCTGATGATCTACAAGTGTTCTTATATTTATTATTATGACCAGTGAGCAGAGCATAGATAAAAATCCTATGATTGGTCAAATCTGTGTTACGCACATTAATAGATATTTCAAAAAAGATCGGCAATTTATATGTGAAGAGTATTGTAAAATCGGAAAAGTGCTACTTCAGTCTGGGATTATACCATAAATGGATGTGTGGTGATCCCGCCTTATATAGTATCAGAATTTTCTAGGGGTTTTCTATAAAAATTTCTAACACACGAAAATAATATAATGACAACTTCATTTTTTTTACACAGAATTTATTTTTATTTTTATAATAAATATACAGTTGGCAAAAGAAACTTTATTTATTTTTTTAAATTTTATACATAGCAATAAATAATGATGATGATGATAATAATAAAATAATAACTAATTTTTTTCTTTAACTGTTGTATGAAAATAACCCATTGTTTAACTATGAATCCATTTTGGAAGAAAGAAATATTAATACAATGTTATATATATAATAAAAATTGTTAAATAATAATATATTATTACTTACTGCTTTGATGATCACGTGCGTAACAATAATAGTGAAAAAAAAGAAATATTAATACAATGGTATATATTTAATAAGAATTATTATTAATAATATATTATTACTTACCACGCGTAACAATAAACCATAATAATAAACCCCGTTAATACAATAAGAATTATTAGTGATATATTATATTACCTTGATGGTCGCGTGCATAATAATAAATAAACCCGTTAATACAATGTAATATATGTATACAATAAATTATTATTATTAGTATTATTAGTAATATATTATTACTTAATAATAAATAAACCCGTTAATATAATGTTATATATGTATACAATAAACCATAATAATAAACCTATCAATACAATGTTATACAATAAATATTATTAATAATATATTATTATTTACCACGTTAACAATAAGCCATTATAATAAATAAGTAACAATAACCATAATAGTAAAGAATTATTATCAGTAATTGATATATTATTATTACCACCACCATTAATGCTTTGAACAATAATCCAATCCCATTGTTTAATTGGTAGATCTGTTTTTTTGAAAAAAATCAATATTAATATGATGTTATATACAATTCATTATCTACTATATACAATTAACTATGTTATGCTTCCCCATTATATTTTTTTTGAAGTTACATATTTTCTTTTAGTTAATTAATAGATGAATGAGTGAGCAAAATAAAATAAACCAACATTTCTAATTATATTACTCAAAGATCCATATGTTGCTTGTTCATAAGTTAACTGTTATTAATTATACTATCTTTCAGTATACTGTCTTTTGATTAGCGCCTATTTTTTAACAATACTACTATTACTATATAGAACCTGTCTCCAGTATATCTTGTCGAAATCTTTTGTTTTTTTGAATTAAACATATGTCTGAACTTAAATCTGAATTTAAAAGATTCTGATAAAAATTGTCAGTAGCAACAACTTGATTATAATGATTTATACATAATGAACAATTTCCTAAACAATTATTTAATAAAGATAATTCAGGGAAATACTTAGCTAATTTATTTACTCTTTCAACTGCAGCAGGTGCTGATGCATGCTTCCATGTTTGTGAGTCAGTTTTACATGGTCGTAATTGACTCTTTGGATATTTATCAACTATGTCTTTAAACAAGCATGGTAAAGTTTTGGCTAGTTGTCTTGTATTTGACATCATAGTCGTAGGAATTTGATAGTTACACATGAAAAAAATATAAAAAAATAATAAATAACTGAAAATTCAAGCCAAAACATGTCTCTTATTAAAAAAAAACTAATATGTAAACCTTTGTGGATTAAAGTGGATTATTAAACTGTGTATTTAGACGAGCTTGTTGATATTATAAAAATATGGTACTACTATATTATGTGTACCTTTTTTTGGGCTTACAAAAATGTCATGATTTTTTTGATTTTTTTTGTAGAAAAGATCGTCAAAGGCCAATTAAATTTCGAGGTGAGACTCTAAATTATTCTACTCTTTGGATATTTATCAACTATGTCTTTAAACAAACATGGTAAAGTTTTGGCTAGTTGTCTTGTATTTGACATCATAGTCGTAGGAATTTGATAGTTACACACGAAAAAAAATAAAAAATAATAATAAATAACTGAAAATTCAAGCCAAAACATGTCTCTTATTAAAAAAAAAACTAATATGTAAACCTTTGTGGATTAAAGTGGATTATTAAACTGTGTATTTAGACGAGCTTGTTGATATTATAAAAATATGGTACTACTATATGATGTGTACCTTTTTTTGGGCTTACAAAAATGTCATGATTTTTTTGATTTTTTTTGTAGAAAAGATCGTCAAAGGCCAATTAAATTTCGAGGTGAGACTCTAAATTATTCTAGAATTAATTTCCATTTATGGTATAATCCCAGACTGTGTTATTATGCTGTTTTTTTTTCAATCGCGTTTTATGTAAAAGTCTGAAAATTTTTTAACATGTACATCTCAAAGAATCTTTTAATCCTGTCCACCATGATGTTGAGCGAATCACAAATGCCATGGCAAGTACAAGTAGTAATAAAAGTTTTTTTCAAGAATAAAATAAACTGGTCATTGTGACAATCACGTGACGTATTGACAAACCTCAGGTAGCAAGCTGATTACGCATTGGCTGGTGAGAATGGAGTTATGTCTTTTCTGAGTAGACTATGTATTATTGCCATAATACAACCGGATGGATACATCCAAACTGGTTGTCAGGCTACGTACCATGTTATGGTCCACTTATATCAATGTTTGATTCTTTAATAGTATAGTGGTTTCTATCTAGCTTTATATTAATGGTCTGTTTTCTAAAAAGAACAAGAAGTCCTCTGAAATTTTAAGCAACTTCTGGATGTTGATTAATAAAGAACGCTATAATGGGGAAATAGAAAATATGCAGGCTTGTTAAACTAACTTTTATAAGGTTTTTATATTTTAGCAAGAAACTGAGTTTACCACATGAAATAGTTGGACTATGTTAAACGTGTGTTGAGAGATTCCAACAAAGAAAAACACCAAGTACATACCATAGCAACTAATAATGCAATAAAATCACTAAAAAACGTGTTGCAAAATGTTGAAGATAAAAGCAGAAATCTCAAGATCCAGCAGTTTGCATAGTGGAGAATAGCCAGGTACAAAAAAATTTTTCAACATTACCGAATAATATTTTGTCAAAAGCTAATACTAATAAGAAACAGTAGACATATTTCTATCATATGAGAAAGCACATTATCGTTTATTTTTCTGATTAAGTTTACATTCGACTAGGCTGAGTCTTTGTATAACAGGATTGGCAAATTTGCGGTCTATTGATGGTCTATTGATGGTCCATTGGGTCCATTAATGTAACAATTTAACCATATTTGGTATTTTATTAATGGCAACGTACCAGTTCAAAATCCATCAGTTATCAATGGAACAATCAATTAGCCAACCCTGCTGTATAAAGCAGAACAAGAGATTGCTAATTATGAGCCCTGTACACCCAAAAGATAAAATATGTTGCATGTCAGGTACCATTCACCAGAACAACAGGAAAAAAAGGAGGAAGAGGAAGATTCACTCTATGAAATTTCTGTATTTAATCCTTTTTTTGAAAAGTCTTCCGTGAATGAAGACAATTTCAAGGAGAATAAGATATAATTCTTTGTTGACATTTCCGATTTTAGATATAATATTCGTGAAAGCTAGCAAGTAGCAATAGATGGGTCCTTGGTGTTTGAACAATGCAAATCACAAAGAAATCAAGATCGCCTTTTTGTCAATGAAGAAGGAAAATATGTGGAAGTTGGAGACAAGTGGTAGAGTGGTTGAAGAGGAACTATATAAACTTAGCCGTGGTCTGGAATTTGAACAGTGAGCTAGTGATTTCATCTGCTGATATTTATTAGGAAAATGTATGATTGGAGATCTGTATTTCTAGTGGAGTCCACTCATTTATTGTGGATGTGGATGATGAGTTAATAAAACAGCATTTTAGTGAAGCTGAACGTCTAGAAACGGAGAATGAATGTGTTCCAGAAATACCACAGCTGTCATAAGGCATTATAGGTTATCTTATCAAATTTAATGATAAGGTAAGGTTATTTTATATATTAATTGGCAAACAATGCATATATATACATTGAATTGATTCTTCTTGTCAGAAAACGCTAAAGGAGATACGTAAGACAATTATTGAACCAGATGAAAGGTTTGATATGAAATATGATCAAGATGCTTACCATGATCTAGATTACATTAGATTTGCGTTATGCGCGCTGTAGGTTATCATATATTCAAATTTATTTACATAAATCGAAGTATTTCAACTAAACAATTGTTTCCCAGAGTTAGGGAAATTGAGTATGGAGGATTAAAAGGCCAGTATTTGGAGGCATGGTACAACTGTCATGTGTGGGATGTCATCATTGATCAAGGTTTTTCAGGTTTGAAGGAGACATCTGTTATTCGGTATGCATTCATACTTTAACTATTTATTCATTATCTCTTTTAATTTGTTTTTGTGTGACTGTCATCTTTAAAGAGGTGAAAGCACTAGCACCGCGAATGCTGAGCGGAAGAATGCGCATAGGACGGATACGAACACTTGGAGAAAGTTCGGGCACCGAGGCGATTGGATCTTGAGACGAATTGGAAATGGTGAGCGTGATGAATATGGTATTGGCGAAGCGGGAAAGTTGTGGTTTGATGATCATGGGATGAAATTCCTGAAGGAAACATGTGTTAAATCACCAAAATGTTTAAAGGATATGTTGTTAAAGCTCATGAAAAAAGTAGACTGGGATAAAGAATTGTGCAAGAAACTACAAACAGTTGGAATCACCCATGCAGACAAGCAATTTTCTGTATTATAATTGTAGTGTAACTAGTGTAAATAAATTTCAAGATGCTTACCATCAATGATGATGACAATTTTTCTCGACAATCCTAAAGGTTACGTGTGCTGTATTGGACATGGAGATTTGATACAGGTGCCAGACATCGAGGAAAATTTTCCAGACATTTTGCAAATTCTGGCAGCTGTGCTAATCATCAAAGTATTATTATTTAATGGTTTTGTTTAATATCGTATTTCTATGAGCATAGTGGACTTTTGATACTATCACTAAACGTGATATAAAGTGATGATCATTTTTATACTGTGTAACTAATGTATTTAATTGAAAAAGTACTTTAATTCGTGATACGTGAAACATCTGCAAAATTTTCATAACAGAATTTGGTGCAAAATTTTGCAGATCACTAATTAAAATTTTCTGGACTCCAACTTTCACCCCCAACGTAACCACCCTTTATGTTTA